CTCTCTCTCTCTCTCTCTCTCTCTCTCTCTCTCTCTCTCTCTCATAGATATACATACATTAATACATATTGTATCTATCTACACAAGGACATACCCACACGCGCGTGCATACACACATGCACACATGCCCACACACACACACACACACACACATATTACCTTATAAACTAGAAAATTCCATTAGCAATAACTTGTTTGATAATTAAAAAAGAAGAGCATTTTTTTCCCTTGAGAATGTTCACTTTAAAAAAAGGACTCCTTTTTTCTTAAAGGGGCATATTTATAATTTTAAATTGCTTCCAAAATTCAATTATGATTGGATAAAGGAGTCCTTTTAGTTTTAAAGTTTATGCATGGAGGGAATTTGAAATAACAGCAATATCCTTCACAAAAGACATGAAGAATTTACAGTCAAAAGTCATTTTTCAACATAGAAAGCTATTTTATGTTAAAATTTTCAAAATAGGAAAACTCTGAGTTCATGATTAGCAGTAGCCTAGAATGTCCATGCATGCATGCTTGTGAAACACTCCCCCCAACGAAATATGTTCCTCAGCGAGCTCATTCAAGAGGCACCCACCTACAAGGCAAAGGCCCTTAGCAGCTTCCACCATTATAACCATTGATCTTAGCCACAGGTATCATATACAGCAGCATAACACATTCTTCAGCCTCATCAAAGCAGTTGGGCAATGTGATGTGTCTACATATGCCGCCCCTGCTCGTGAGTGGATATAAAATAACGTCCACAAGCAGGACCAAAATAATAAACCACCTTCACCCCCCCCCCCCAAAAAAAATAAAATAAAATAAAATAAAAAAGTTCAGGAGTATAAAACCCCACTGAAGCCCCTTAGAACCAATATAACTTTTTCAATTTCAAAATATTAGACAAATCCCGTGGCTTTTTTGGAGAAGACTTCGAGTTTCTTTTGTACTATATTTTCAAGGACTCCGGGCAAATCATGAGGAATCCAGGATTTCAAGGGGCAAGGAGAGTAAAACTAGAATCAAATTCTCTTTTGATTTTGGATTCGACATGGAGACCAAATCAATTTTTGGCATTTTAGCTATATCCTACAGTGTATTTACTGGATCGATGCCGATATAATTTTTGAAGTGCTTGGATTATAAATAAATATTCTTTCTTGTTTGTTTAATTTATTCAATGGGTTGCATGAATATTTCAACGTTATTTTAATAGACAATAGAGGCAACATATGCCTATGCTTTTTTTTTTGAGAGAAAAACTTTTTTTTTTTTTGAGAGAACCTATGTTACTCTCTAATAGCAACTCAAACAGCACAAATATTAGAGACAAATACTAAATTAAAATGCCTACACCATTCCTTGTATTCTTATAGTTTCCAATTAAATTTATTGACCACATCAGAGGTGATGTGCCAGTGTTGAGCCACATAGCATGTCGGACCCTCTTAGCACCTCGATTCTACATCTTGCATATGATAACCTTGATCTTGTCCTAATTAGAATTACTAGTATAACTCTCACCCTTTCTTTCTAAATCCAGCTCACTTGCGTAGGACCGAAGACCCCGTGATCCAACATCATATGCACTTGAAAGGTAAGCAAAGATGGACAAGGCGGATAATACATGTATCTCAAGGGTACTAACTGGGGAATCAAAAGTACAAAATGATACTTTTTATTGCTTTCATTATAAATTTATAATAAAACATCACCATACAATTAAAGAGCGTAAACTGAGGACTTAGCAGAAGGGAAATAAGCAACTCAGTCAATATAGAAAATTAATTTCAATGGAATTAAAATTATACCCCGAGTAAGGTAATCATTGTAATTAAAACCCATAAAGACCCGCAGACTGATCCATGAGTTGGATCAATAAATGTACAGTCCTTTGGTTCTAAATTGTTTCATTTCAATGAGGCTTTTTAGTTGTTTAATATGCCCATAGACTGGACCTTGGAAGGGCAACTTGTTTAAATAATTAAATATTCAATTTCTTCAATTTGGATTTGGATACTCTCCCCGAGTAAGGTAATCATTGTAATTAAAACCCATAAAGACCCGCAGACTGATCCATAAGTTGGATCAATAAATGTACACTCCTTTGGTTCTAAATTGTTTCATTTAAATGAGGCTTTTTAGTTGTTTAATATGCCCATAGACTGGACCTTGGAAGGGCAACTTGTTTAAATAATTAAATATTCAATTTCTTCAATTTGGATTTTGATACTCTAAATGGGATCTAGAACTCGTTTATTAGGAGGGGTACTCAAACAGGTAGGCCTTTTCGTATGGATCATCTTAAGACACATGGTACTTTTATGCTTCCTATAGTATCATTTTCTAACTTCTATAGTTTGCCAGTGCTGGCTTTCACTTCAGATACTGTACCAACACTAACTACGTTTTGACACTTCATGATATGCTACCTAATCTAAGCTTCTGATTTTAGTAACTTTGTTCTCCCGATCTTCTTTCTAGGCTAAATAATCCACAAAGGGTGCTTTGTTTGGGGTATGGTGAAATTCAGACAACTGTAAAATGATCCTTTTCGTATCAACAGTAACCATTCTTTTAATCATAGACGAAACAGAAGGCATTGTACAAAACCAACATTACAATGCAATCTAAGATAGCTGTTAAGAAGACATTTCAGAGAGGAAAAAACAGGAAAACACCAATTAACCTCAGTTGTCCCACCAGAAGGCATGGTACAAAAACAACAATTACAATGCAATCTAAGATAGCTGTTCAGAAGACATTTCAGAGAGGAAAAAAAAGGAAAACAGCAATTAGCCTCAGTTGTCCAACCCCATTATTGACATGTAAAAATTACAGTCTGGAGATTTCATCCCAGAAGATAACAATGCACTACAAACATTTCAACAAGGGATAGAGAAGACAAGCAAAGAAGCCCATAACTTGTCTTGTTTAAAATTCTAAACATAATATCTTTAGTATGATATGAATATTAGAGAGGGTTTTACATGACAAAACACTTGAACTATACACCAAGATATCAGATAAGATCCCCATGTTTTCCAATTCGGAAACAATTTCAAAGATCACCATGTTCTCCAATTCAGTAACAACACTATCTGATAACTTCACCAAGCAGCCAAATAAAACATAAAATGAAAAAAATCAAATCAATGAAAGACTTTCCAGAACCACCACAACCACCTTTTCTTTGCTAGATCTTCAGATCATTACAAGCAAAAAATGAAAACCAAAAAAGAAAAAAAAAAAAAAACTTTCAAAGTAAATGGCCAAAAGAAAGCAGGGTGAGAGAAAAAACAAGCAAAACTACTCGAACTCAAAACAACAATATCAATTAGAAACACGCCAATAACACAACACAAGACAGAAGAGAGAGAAAGAGAGACTGTGACACAGTGGGATTCAAGGGCTGTTATTGCTCTCAGTGCTTTAGCTCGAACAAGAAAACCTTAACGATGTATCAGAGTTCATTTACTTCCGGGTCCCACTGACCTGTACAGGATGAGGAGGGTACCACCCTGTTAATGTGTGTTACCGCCGGGTGGCTGGGGCATCAGGGAAATGGGAGAGGGGCACGAGCTCGGACAGGGGCGTTGATAGTGGGGTTGGCAGTGGGGACGTCCTGCAGACAGGGCAGGACGCGTTGAGCCGCAGCCAAGCATCGACGCAGCACAGATGGAAGAAGTGGCGGCAGTCAGGCATCATTCTCAGCATCTCTCCCTCCTTGTACTCACATAGACAGATGGAGCACATCGCCTCGTTCCCCTTTGAAGCCTTCGAGAAAGCAAACTTTGGGTAAGAATTGATCATGTTCTGGTCAAGCCCAACAACAACAGAATGTTCATCTCCTTCGTCTTCTTCACCTTCTGCCACAAAAATGATTCTCGGCAACACAATCGTCTCGACATTAGAAGGAGGAGGAGATCGCCTGCCTCTGCAACATATGTAAGAGGCCAGTAGGATGGTGGAGAGGAGAACGAGGAGGCCAAGGGCAATGGCAATGGAGTACCCCAAGCCGAGACTGCTGAAATTGTTGACGAAGAAGCCACCACCGCCGCCGGCGGCCATTTTGTACTAGGGTTTTTATGCGCATCATCTGTGAACGAGTGTGAAAAGGGGTAGAAAAGGGTTCAGCGCCCAGCTACTGCAATTAATACCGGAGTTGAATGGGGCTCAGACTGCATTAACTGCTTCTTCCATTGCTCCGTCCGCCTTTGCTCTCGCCCTCACTCTCTCGATGCGCGCTCACGCTGACTTTCACTCCCTCTGCCCCTTTTAAACTACCTATATTATATACTCATCTTTGTTTTAAAATCCCTTCAACACTCCCTTACTTTTCTTTTTTTTTCGTTAAAGCAAATATTGTTCTCTTAAGTCCCTTTAAGTCCCTATTCATAAGCCTTTAATTTAATTTTTAGGGTAATTATCAAATATATCCTTCTTAGTTGTCAATATTTCAAACTTATTTTTGTTTTTGTCTCATATATCTATACAAGTTTCTAGCTATATTTTGCGTAAAAAAACGTTTTTACTCCCGGCTCTAATAGAGCCTTCTTGAAGGGTTCCTGAAATTTTTCGGTCAAGTTTCTGATGCACTTAGAAACTTATAAATCGTGATGAACATGCTACATTCATGATGGTTGCCACGGGCTCTATTAGAGTAGCATTGACCTTCACAGGTACTGGAGAAAAGCTTATGTTTCGATGAATGCTAATTTCTCTGAAGGTGGGGTCTTTAGTGTTCGACATCCTAAGAAAAGCTCGAAAAATATCGTTAATTTAAAAGGAGGTGAAAAAGTAAAAGAGAGCTATTGCTTCTCAATAAAGTAACATATTCCTCCAAAACAATCATCTACAAAGAAAATGGAGTAAGAAACCAAAAAAGGATCTCATTAAAACCAAGATTTCCGATTTTTTTCACAAAAGCTCTAAAACAAAATACACACCACTTTTCCACCATGAAAGAATCTCTCTCTCTCTCTCTCTCTCTCTCTCTCTCTCTAACAGGAGCAATGGCGACTTGGGTTAGCTGGTAGGTATTATGTGACCTTGGTTTCAAACCCACAACGGCTCTATCGACTCTATTAGAGCCATGGCGACCCTCACAAACATAGCAAGTCCGTGATGGTTTATAGGTCTAGCCAAAGGGTTCGAGGAACCGTTCGAACCTCCATGGCTCTAATAGAGCTGTTATAGGGGTAAAAATACCTTTTACGAAAAAAACAGCTAAAAATAGATATAGATGTATTAAACAAAAAATAAATGTAAGTTTGAAATAGAGGCAACTATGGGGGATATATCTGATAATTTTCTTATCAAAAGAAAACAAATAATTTTATGATTCTCAAGAAATATTAAATCAAATTTAGAAGGAAAGAAAAAATAAATAATTTTTGCTGGAGATTTTAAAAAATTAATAAACAAAAGAAAACAACAAATTAGAGATCTAGGATATTGACTAAAGATCCTAAAAGAAAAAAAAAAAAGGAAAGCCATCTAGTTCAATCCCTCGGGGACCGGGGCTTGATGAAGCCCCTCTCGGACAACCGCTTGACTCTCACACGCGTTTGCGCCCACGTGCCACGTGCCACTTGCGGATAGGTATTTCCAACAGTGACCGGATTTTAAAGTAATGAAGAGGTGGACTCGAGCACCAACCTCACCGTAGTTGAGTTCGTGGGATACGCCCGGGCTACAGTCCTCTCAGATCAATTACGAAAGCCCTCTGGCTGTTCAGCATCGCAGTTTGAATTCAACCCTCTCTGAAATCAACACCTCACCTAGACTCTCACAAAAAGACTGCTAATGAAAAGTCCACTTATAATAAACTCCTCTTTAATGCACTCACAAGTTAGTGGTTCTAATTTTGGGGGTAGAGTGGTAAAGGAAAGAATAATTGTAGATTGATGAGATCTTGGTTTAGACATGAGAAGAGAAAGAAGAAGGTGAGATGAAAGAAGTAAAAGGATGACTCGAAAATTGTGCAGCCTCCCGACATAACCTCTCCTAAGAGATATTGCTAGAGACAAAGGAAAGTACCAGGCTAGAAGTCTTGGTACCTAGAGGATTTGGAAAGTGGAGTTACAGGACGTGGCCTGTAACTATGTCACTAACCCAAAAAGCCCCCTAAAAGTGATCCAGGGAGAGAAGAAAATGAAAGAGAGCAAAAGAGATGAAAATCTCTCACAACTCAAACGCTATATGACCCGGTGGTTAGAGTAGTGTAAGAGTCATAACTCTAAGAAGGAGAAGGAGAGAGTAAGCAAGAGAGAAGGAGAAAGAGAGAGCGCGGACTTGCCTATAGTGCGGGCCCATGACCCGAATGAGGGAAAGATAAAGAGAGTAAAGGAAAGAGAGTAAGAAAGGGACATCAGGCCTGCCCACAGTGTGAGTCCGTGCACTTTAGATGTGAAAAGAAGAGAGAGAGTGAGCAAAGAGAGAGAAAGAGAGCAAAAAGAGAGAGAGAAAGAGGGAGAGGGCTCGAACCCCCTAGGTCCGAGTGGAAGAGAGAGAAAGAGAGAGAAAAGATAGAAAGAGAGGGAAGAGAGAGAAAGAGAGAAAAAAGGGAGGGAGAAGAAAAAAAAAAGAGAGAGAAGGAAGAGAAGAGAGAGTGGACCTCGAATGGGCTTGAGCCTAGGTACACTTTCATTGGTCTCTTTGCATGCACTTGAGAGAGAAGTCTTGGTCTGTGTGCATCAAGGTTAGGGTCTAAGGTCTAGGTGTATGGCTTAGATGGGTTGGGTTAAGGTATGGTGTATGGAAATTAGGGTGTATATATGCTTTGGTATATTGGTGTAACTAAAGTGTATGGGATAAGGTAAGGTATAGGAGAACTAAGGTGGAGTACTATGGTGTATAGAGTAGGGTTGAGTGTAGGAAAACTAAGGTAGGGTGTAGGGTGTATGGAATAGGATTCGAAGTTAGGAGTTCTAGGGTGTATGGTAGCTAGAGTGTATGGGGTAGGATTGGGAGTTGGGGATCCTAATGAAGTTGGAATTTTGGGGTTCTAAGGAGTGAAGGATTCCTATGGGTATTTTCTCTCTCTAGGAATTGTTTTTCACTCCTCACTCCTTGAGTCTTGGGGTTAAAATCAAACCAAAAGAACAAGCCTAAGCTCTTAGAATTCTCAAGCTCTTCTCATTAATTTCCAATACTCTCAAGAGTCTCTACAAATGACTGCACTTTGCTTATATAGGGTATCCCCAAACCACAGGTGGATACTAAAAAACCTTCAAAAACTTTGAAAATTACACATTTGATAAATAAAAATATTAATCATATTTTTTGAATTAATGACAAAAATACCCCTAAGCAGTTTTCAACAAATGATAAAACCATCCCTCAATGAGGAGCCTCTAGCCATTGCTAGGCCTCAGGAACCTTTTGGATGTTTACGGTGGCAATTTAAGTGATCAAACGTCGTAGAATTGATGCTTGAATTATTACACACGTTTTGATACCCACGATCATTTTTTAATAGAGTTTTAAAGAAAAACCCAAAATCCGGTCAAATCCATAAACTTGTTATTCTTCGACCACCGATTCGGCATGATCCGTGATGTTCCGAGACTTCATTTTGATCACAAATTGAAGAGGATACTATCATGATAATTTTGTAATAAATTTTATCCATTTTGGTTTCCGTTTGAGCATGTTCCAATTTTGGGAAGTCGTCGAAGAATGGGATTCCGTCGACTGGAAAAGTATGCCTTCTTCGACCTCAAAATTCAGGGTCAACTGGCCTCCAATCGTACACAAAAATTATATCAAACTGAAGATCTTCGAAGCACGGTCGCAACAGACCTATACTTGCGACGATCCGACATCGAGATCTTGAGCTATGGCCTCTCAAAGAATGGGATGTTCCTCTTTTTAAAATATGAATTTCCATGTTTTGAGCCCATCTTCTCTCTAATAATTCTCTTATTTCGGGCCATGCGATGATGCGTGAAATATGTCAAAATGAGTGTATCGTCGAGATCTAGCTCGTGTCTGAATATGAGCTTAATTAGACAAATGTGCAAGTTAATGAACATTTTAAATTCATCCAAAAATGAGAAAACACAGTTTCCCTAAATGAAAACTGGTTCACCGAGGCTACACCGCAATTGTGTAAAACCCACCCATTTTTTGTAAGTTAGGCCCAGAATAGTCTCAGAGGATCCGATTGAGCTAAAACCTGATACTTGAGGGTTTTTTGACCTTTTGGATCTAATGGCACTGGTTTGATACTCTTTTGAGACCCATAAAATAGGGTTGTAGTTATAGAGTCTATTTTTAGCATGAAAAGAATTGGATTTGAAAACTATGTTTTGTCCTGATCGGCTCAAAACCTATCAGAACGCGAAGAAAATTTATCGTTGTCCTTAGGGCATCCAAGAATACCCTCTCATGCAATTTGATGTAATTCTTACACTTCTTCAAAGGTCACCCAATATCATGCGTATTGGTACATTGTTCTCGCGGTCTAACAACGTCTTGGGCACCAACAGGACCAAGTTACTATCGGCTCTCTCTTTATGCATGTCAGAGATATAAGCACATCAAAAATATTGTATAACAACTTGCCTGCCGAATGCTACTCTTTAAGAGAAACAAGAAGTGTAACATGCAAAACAAAACCTTGTTAGAGTTCATCTTCCGAATTCTTACTGAGGCGCTTTTATTGTCTCTCAACAATCTTTTTCTTCTTGATCAACAACACCAACACAATCCTTGAGAGGAGACCATGCTAAGCTTCTTCCTTGAGGGATTATTGAAGTGGATTCTAACGATCGGGGGCCTTGTTTAAGGGATCGATAAGCCCAATACTGTTAAAACCCCTTTTCTACGGGAGCATGTTGACCGGGGGCCTTGCTTAAGGGCTTTCTTCCTAACTTAACAATGTTTCCTAATGAGTTGATTGTTGGGTGCCTTTGGGCCTTGAATTCCAATCCAGTTGCATTTTTTAATCCAAAAACTAGGGGCCTTGTTTAAGGACTTGGGACCCAGTATTATCAGAATCCAGATATGTCTGGCAGTCAAGGGTCTTGCTTGGAGATTTCCTTCTCAATCCGTCAAATTTTTCTCTTGAAAGGCTAGCAACAGGGGCCTTGCTTAAGGTCTTCATTCCCATTTTACACTAAACTTTTGATTTGTCTATTTTGCTTTAGATAGATAATCGAGGAGAGCCCTTAATGAGGTGTATGAACTGCTTCATCAGTACTTGGACTGATAGAACAAAGGGTATCTCTTTGGGGGCTTACACCCAATATA